TGAGAATTGGGTTGCTGTTCCAAAGGAGAAACAGTCTAGCCTGAGAGGCTCGACTTCCAAGATATCTCACTATGCAAACCTCTTAGGCAAACACATTTTCCATCTTTTCCCACGTCCTAGGCATCATCTGTGCTTATGATGTGTATGCTGAAAAGTATCTCCAGCCCAATCTTTGGTTATAACCTGAAAGATTAAGATAACCTAGTCCGAGCTTGAATTTTAACCTGAAGCAGGCCAATTCTCAATGACTGCCTTGCATCCCTCTGTTCAACTACTTCCCCAAGTTCACAGATTGTACAGAAATTATTATAATTGACTACTTAGTTTCATCAGGTTCAAAGAGTATGTATGACATGGCAAGACTATAGGTTCGTGGAGTTCTTGCTCTAATTAACACCTCATCATTATCTCTAGGGCCCAGGAGAAGTTAGACTCATTGGTCAGATATTCACCTGCATCCCTGAGCATAAGGCAGCAACCCCATCAAGGAGCCTCTGCCAGAGAACAAGTCCAGACTCTAGCACCAGCACCTGGAGCAAGGTGACACACAGCTCAAAATGTGGGAACTAGGAAGCTAGCTAATCCAGCCAGCTGACCTGGCAGAGATCAGAGACAAAGCGTCCAGGGCCACACTGGCCAGAGTCAACACCAGGGTCTGATGAAGGTGTGTTTAGTGGCTCAGCTATTCTTTTTTTTTTTTTTTTTAAAGAGAGAGTGAGAGAGGAGAGAGGAGAGAGGAGAGAGGAGAGGGAGAGAGAGAGAGAGAGAGAGAGAGAGAGAGAGAGAGAGAGAGAGAATTTTTTAATATTTATTTTTAGTTCTCGGCGGACACAACATCTTTGTTTGTACGTGGTGCTGAGGATCGAACCCGGGCCGCACGCATGCCAGGCGAGCGCGCTACCACTTGAGCCACATCCCCAGCCCCTGTTCTTTTTTTTTTTTTTTTTAAATATTTATTTTTTAGTTGTAGTTGGACACAATACCTTTATTTCGCTTATTTATTTTTATGTGGTGCTGAGGGTCTCGCAAGGCGAGCACTCTACCGCTGAGCCACACCCCCAGCCCCTCAGCTGTTCTTTACAGGATCCTATAATTTAGATTTGCCCTTTTTCATCAAGACTTCTGAACTCCTCTTTCTTAAACTATCTGAAAGAATATACTATACCACTCATACTTTGGAAGAGTGGTGACAGTGCCTTCCCTTGACCATAGCAGCAAAAGCCCAGTGGGCAGCAAAAGGCTCCTGTTTTCTCTTAGGAGCTCTCTGTCTCAGCTCCTGAGACCCAGAGGAGGGTAGGTTCAAGCCATGTGGCCCTTCCCCGGGGGTTACCAAATGCTCCAGCTGGCGGCAGGTGAACTCTGGAAGTTGGACCCTTCTCCACACTTGCCTATTACTGCTGTGCTGGCTGGAAGACAAACAGTCATCTTGCTGATTGCTTTCAAGACTGCCAAGCCTCCGGGCCAGCAGAGCCATTTGGAAAAGAAGTGAACAGAAAGCTCAGTTCACAGACTAAGAAACCCCAAAACTACCCGCCCCAGGTCAGAATCCTGCAAAAAGAAGGCTGTGAAAACATAGCTAGAATTAGGTGTCACAAAAATCATCTTAAAGACAGGGCTTGACTTTCTTTTATCTTCTTTTAGAAGAAGAGTTGACAGCAAACAGGCAATCTCCCTGCAACATAAGGTTTATTTTTATGCTTCAACATTTTCTGTGTATGTTTTAGATATGATCAAAGAGCTCCTAGAAACAGCTTCTCATCAGCCACRTTTTTTTAAAGAATAGAGAAAAAAAGCAAGAAAACGGATTAAAGGTATCACTGAAGTTTGTTTACCTATATTTATTTTTTTGGTTGTGGGGAGATACTGGGGATTGAACTCTGGGGCACTCAATTACTGAGCCATATCCCCWGCCCTATTTTGTATTTTATTTGGAGACAGGGTCTCACTGAGTTGGTTAATGCCTTGCTGAGGCTGGCTTTGAACTCGCGATCCTCCTGCCTCAGCCCCAAGCCACTGGGATTATAGGCATGCTCCAGCTGTTTACCTATTTTCTAGTGAAACAAGTTTTATAAATAATTTAAATAAGGTGACTGTGGACGCTTTTTTTTTGGGGGGGGGGGGACGAATTGCTCAGCCAAATCCCTTGCTTATTTCCTAACATTAACATTACTGCAATGACTGAGCTCCCAAGGCTACTTTAGCTAAAATTACAACAGGACCAAGAAAAAGGTTCTTACTTTCAGTTGGTGGCATGATTTATTCTAAAGGAGGCCAATATTTCTGACATCCCTGTCCTTGTGACCAGAGAAGCTGCTGCTTGTCTTTTTTCTACTTTAAAGAATACACGTGGCTGGGGGATGAAGTTCAGTGATAAAAGCACTAGGAGGCCCTGGGTTCCATCCCCACCAAAACAACCAAACAAACAGAATTATAGGCACTTGMCTAAAAGAGATGCATCCCAGATTTTCCAAAGTTTGGGCTTTCACTGGTATGAGACTTAACATAACATCAACAGTGTGACTGGCTATCCTGAGAACTACAGGGAACTTAAGTCCATAAAGAGTAGAGACAGGATGAGTAATTCATAATTTGGAACAGGATAATATATGCAGCCAGTGCTCTGGATAAAGTTATCACAGAGCAGCTTACATTCCAAAATGGTCACCCGTGACTACTGTCATGAAATCAGTGGACATGCACGAGTCCCTACCACATGCTCAGTAGTATGCTAGACATGTTAAGGAAGAGAGGAAATCAGTGCACACATCACAAGAAATAACCATGGCAATGATGCATTTGCCATTAGTAAACAGCACCTAGAAATCACACTGAGGTAGTCTCTTACTCTGTGCTGAACACAATGCCCCCACAGCCTCACAGAGAGTAGGCACTCCAGCCTCTCCCCAAATGCCTGAAGGTGCCAGTCACTTGGCCTCCTCCTACAAGCTCATTTTCAACAGTTTGAAAAGTTCTCCAGTTAAGCAGGATCTACCTGCTAAAACAAAGATTGTGAGAAGAAAAAGGATGGAACAAGCAACCTCAAGAGGGCCTGGAGAAAGTTGTTTCTGGTAGGAGGGAACCAGCTGGCAAGCGAGGGACTATGGGACACAGACCCAACTCCTTGGTTTCCAAAGACCACTGTGCCGTGCAAAAACAGCTGCCAGACCCAGTGATGAAACAAATCAACCATTCCTCCCTCTCAACCCCTACTTCACCCCTGAAGCATATAGTCCATTAACAAAAGGGTCAATGACTGTATACAGAGAAAAGCACCGTCCAGACTCCTCTTAAGTTCCTAACTGTCCAGGTGATAGAGAGCAAAAGGGAAAAAGACAAAAAAAGCACAATAAATGAAAAGAGATACCTTTTGCAGAGGAGGTTAATAAGCAAGAGACTACAACAACAGCTCTACCTTACCAGGACAGGAAGAAAAAAGGAAACAAGAGGGAACAAAGGGTGTAATAAGGGAATAGAATGCAAAAAGCACTGCAGCCTCAGGGTAGAAGGGCTCCTTTTTCAAGACAAGTTTTTTTTGCCTAGTAAAGTTTACCAAGAAAGGCCTGCTGGGCACAGACCTCTCCACAGACCAGGCAGAAAGGGACACTGGAGATGGTGAAAGAAAGTGGACGCCTCTYGGTTCAGAGGTGAGATGAGAACACAGAAAAGGCAAGGCTTGGGTGACAGTTATTGCCAGGATAAGGGGAAGTGTGTAGGGTCATGAAGATGACATGTAGCATAAGAGGCTAGCATGCAAAATTCGTGAACTTCCAAGACTAGCCAATAGAAAGGGAATGCATAGGAACCCATGGGGTTGGGGAGTAAATATGCTGTGAAGAGGGCAGGAGACTCACATGGACATGAAAGGCAACACCGAATAAGAGGGGCACTAAAGAAGATGGGGTGAGRTTGAGAAACAGGAAGCAACAAGCAAGAGGAAGACACTATGAGAAGTGACAGTCACAGAGTGTCGAGATAGAAAGCATCTTGGTTTTCACAGCAGGCAAAGAGGGCAGAAAGGCAGGGACTGTGAGGCAGCGAGGCAGCGAGGCAGGGAAAGGACAGGCAGGGAAAGGACCGAGCAACAGGTGATGTTACAATAGCAGGACTGCAACAGTGAGTGTCTTTCCTACCACAGCGGGAGGGAAAGGCTGGAAGAACACAGTAAGAAATAGGAGGCCCAGGGACTTAAAAGCCAAACCTCAGAGGGAAGAAAACCAAAGGGATCTAGAGTCTGAAGGGAGTGGTGATTGGAACCCCAAAGACAACCTGTGGGAAAACTATGCGCATGACAGCTGTATGGGAAACACGGAAGCAACACATGCCAGAGCCAGGAACCAGGGAGCTCCTGGCGAAAAGAAGGGAAAGTGATGAGCAAAGAGTAGGCGAACCATTTGGAAAGGTGATGAGGGTGGAGCTGGTGGGTTGCAGACAACAGGGAGAGCACAAATTGGAACGGGAAGAAGCAGGGTAGAAAAAGCTGGGAAGTGAAAGGGGACTGGGACCTAGAACCCAATCCCAGGCAAGGACCCTGAGGGCGATAACCAGGGACTGGGACTGGGAGAACCGGTGCGGGCGGAGGGGAAGCAAGGCCAGGCAGACGCTCAAAGAGGTGGACAAATCGAGTGGCAAATCGCGGGGTGTTATTCGAGGAGCGGGAGAGTGGCTGCTTTAAGCGTGGGTGGAGGAAGACCAGAAAGGCCCCTGAGAGAAAAAGGGAAGAGAAGGGGAAGCTGGGGAGGTAACACGGAAGAGCGCAGGAGAGCGGTGGTGAGGGGACAGGGATTGGCAGAAAGACAAGTGTGCAGCTCCGAGTCAGGACAAGGTGGGTCCCAGGTCAGGACTCGGAGAGGGACGTGGGGGCCGGATCCTGGGGCCAGATGACAGGACAGCCAAGGCTTGCGGGATGGCAGCAGGGGCACGAGGACAGCAGAGCAGGGAGGAGGCTCCGCAAGGTGCAGGGGCCCATCCAGAGAATTCGGGGAGCCCTCGGGGCTCCTTACCTGCTCCGTGTCCCTCTCGTTCAGCGTGGGTAGGGGGGTCCGGGCGCTGGACATGGCGCCGGTATCTCAGGGGAGGGAACCSAGAAGCTTGAAGGAAGGGAGGGAAGGGAAGGCGCAGAGCCCGGCCGGGCGGGGCTTCTCACAGTACGAGCACCCGCCGCATGGGCCCCGGCCGGGGGTGCGGGGAGGCCGGGCAGCCGCTCACGCTAGCCCGGGGATGCGCCGCTCGGGCTAGGCCGCGCCGGCTCCGAGCGGCTCCGGACCGCACCCCCCCGACCCCCGGCTGGGCTGTGCCGCCTTTCGGCCGGGCCGCGCCGCTCCGCCTACTCTCTGCCGCCGCAGCCGGCCGCCTGCCTCGCTCCTCCCCTGCCCTCAGCGGCACTGCTCCGCGCCCGGCACACAGGCAGCCGCCGCCGGACCTGCTGCTCCCAACATGGCCGCCACCACCGCCGGCCCTCGGCTCTTTCCGCCTGCTGCAGCCGGAAACATCCGAAGCGTCTAGGAAAGGGAGGGGGACGTGCCTTCTCCTCTCAGCCACCGACTAAGGATAAATTCCGGAAACAACCGAAGAAGGTAACCCCCGGGGACGCGCGCGCCTCTTCGAGTCCGAAAACCGAGCTTCGGCTCTGTTTACGGAAACCCACGAAGTGACTCCGGGCACTCCTGAACCATGCGCCACGCCCACCGGCCTTTCCCCGCCCACTTCGAGCTGGCTTTCGGCAGTTTCCGGAAACACCCGAAGCGGCTCCCCGTGCTGCGCGGGTCACGCCCCCATCCCTCAGCTCAGCCGAGGGCGGTCGTCGGCCATTTCCGGCAACACCCGAAGGCCCGCCGAGCCCYGGGTTATTTCCCTGTGTAGTACCAGGGTCTTACTCTTCGTTTCTTTCCGTCAGTTTTTGGTTATTTTCAAATCTTGAACAGAAAGTGTGGGTCATCTGTGCGTATTATTGGACCGAATAGAAAATAAAGCTATTACCCAACCCACGATTGGCATACTTTGGTTCTCCTCTGTGTCTCCGTTTGTCCATCTGTTGGTCAGCTCATAAAATCCCTCTTCTGTTTATCATCCAACCTTTCTATCAACATATGTGTCACCTGCTAAATGCAATGTCAGTCTATTACCTGTCTACCTACCTCCCACATGCCATTGTCTATGTTGGTTTCTTTTTATTTGACATCCTCTTAGTTTAGTGTGCAGGGCTCTGCAAGGTTCAAGACCAGGATTCTCATCCAGAGGCAGGACCCTGCATTTCAGCCCCAGCCCTACCAAATGAAAATGCTGTGTGGTCTTGGAAAATCACATGACATCTCTGAGGTTAGGCTCTTCTTCCTTATATTTGAAAGGATCCATTCCTTTGTTCCAGCGTTGACATTTGAAATAACATCTTTGAGTTCTAATTACCTTTTTAAATGTCCTACAAGGTTAAGTCAGGAGAGATATTCTCATCTTAATTCTCATTTCAGTTATCCTTCTGAGACAAAGGAACTCACGGAAAAGAAAAAGGAAACATGTTGAAAATAGAAATTCCTGGGGGTGTACCTCAGTGGTAGAGCATGTGCTTAGCATGCAAAAGGCCCTGGGTTCAATCTCCGGTACTAAAAGAAAAAACAAAAACAAACAAAAAAGTTTCCTCAGGCAAAAAGAATGGGCCTCTGGAGAAATTCCTTTTCTTTCTTTCGTTGGGCCTCATTCTCCCTATCAGTAAAGTGAGTTTATTGGATTTATGCAATCTGATGTCCTCAGCTTTGGAAGTTCTTGACTCTAACAGAAAATCCATGTGACAACCTGGGTCCTTCCTCGCTTCCCCCTTGACTGTCCCACCAAGAAGAGGTGGTAGTCTAAACTGATTTCTCCAACTCCAACTTGTCCCTACCCGTTCTATTTAGGACATATTGGAACTGGTCCTTTCTCCCAGGGCTCAACAGCAGTTTAAGGTGGGCTGAAGCCAGAGGGCTCATAGGAGCTAGAGAACAAGCAAGAAGTCCCCATACATATCATAGCAGAGAGGCCCCAGAGGTCATGGGAGAAAAGTGCTGGTTGGACCTCCCACAGCTGACTTCCATCTCCCTGTAACCTCTTCTTTAGTTGAGTCCTTGGTCACCTGAATCAGAGAAATAGCAGATCAGAGGCAACGTGACGAGTAAGAACTTCCTTAGTTAACAGGTACCACCTACAGTTCTTAGTGAATCCACAGGATTCTAGGACATCTCCCATGTTCCACCCCAGCTTCATTCAGGCACCCAACCTCAGGAAAGAACTTGGTGAAGGCATACCYCAAAAGATGGAAAAACAATGAAGAGGACAATGCCTATTCCACTCCCCCACCCCAAATTCAACCTGAAAATCCATGAGAATAATCTGCCCTCTGGTGGCCAAAGGGAGACAAGTTGCTGATTTCTGWGGGGGATATCACCTCTAAGTCTGAGGTCTGGAGCGCAGGGGAGAGAGAAGGGCAAATGCAGGTGCATTCAGCTGTCTCTCCCTGGCCCGTGCTTCATCTATATAGATTCTGTCTCCTCCGTGCTTCTCACTGGAGCCCTGGGCTCACCTCCACATTGCCTCTCCCTCTCTCTTCCTTCAAGCTCTGCCCAAGACTGCCAGGCAGTGTCCCTGCCCAGACTCCCTGCAACCCAGTCACTGGAAATGCCAGAATAATCTTCTTGAAGCCTAGCTCCAATTACATCTCTGCTTTGCTAGAACACTATCACCAGTTCTCCATGGACTGCAGGCAAAGCTGGCTGGCGTCGTGGGCCTATGACCTGTGCAGTCAGACAGAGCTCTGCATTCACAAGAGCCTTGAGCTTGGTCTAAAGCACGACTGTCAGTGTCTTGGATTTTCTTTTACCCAGGGGGCCCTCATTTTCATTTTGCACTGTGCCYCACAAATTATGTAGCCAATCTGGACTGTAGAAGCCTTTAGCCCCATTCAAAACCTTACTCAATCTGGCCTCAAATTACCTTGCTAATATCCACTCCGACTAAATGTCACTGGTGGACATTCCTCCCCAATTCCTGCCCCACCACCAAACACTCTCACCTTTGTGCCTTTGTTTACCCTGATCAGTTCCAATCACCTACCTCCAGATGTACTTCCAGACCCAGTTCAGAGGTCACCTACTCAAATTTCTGAAGCCACCTAGTTCTCACACACATTTACCCTGCTCTAAATTTGCAAATTCATTCAACAAATCTGTTGGGCACCCACTATATGCAAGGCACTCTATCAGTGAACAAACAAGGCAAAGAATTTTCTTTTTCTTTTTGGTACCGGAGATTGAACCCAGGGATGCTTTACCACTGAGCCACATCCCCAGTCCTTTTATTATTATTTTTTTTTTTTTTTAAATTTTGAGACAGGGTCTCGCTAAGTTGCTCAGAAGCTCGCTCAGTTGCTGAGGTTGGCCTGGAACTTGTGATTGTCCAGTCTCAGCCCCCCAAATCGCTGGGATGACAGACATGTACCACCACACCCAGCTGGGGAGAACTTGTCAATTAGGGGAAAGACAAATATAGTAACTGTAAGTAGTAAAAATAAGTTAAAGTGGATCAGGACTACACAAGTGAAGGGGGTAGAAAACAAGTTAGTTTAGGGTTTTCTTTTGTTTGTATCAGACCCAGGGCCTGGAGCTTGCTAAGCATGTGCTGTACCACTAAGCTGCATCCTCAGCCCAAGTTGGAGTACGGAAGTGGTCAGGGTCACTAAGAAGAGAGCAAAGAGATCATGAGCTCTGCGGATATCTGGGGAAAAGCATTCCAGGGCCAGGGAAGGTCGAGAGAAAAGGCCCTGAGGTAGGAGTGCACACAGCGAGTGTGAAGAAGGGAAACCAAGAGTGAGTGAGGAGGTGAGTGGGAGGAGAGGACAGAGAGGTAAGGAGAGCCAGGCCTGGTGGGCCAAGGCTTTCCCTCAAAGTGAAAGGAATGATGCCCAGCAGCACGATCCAACTGGCCAAAGGGTTCAGAATGGTGAAGGGGCCTGGCGGGAGCAGAAGCCTGGAGCTCAGGAAGGAGGCTTTCACACTCAATCAAGTGAGAGATGGCAGGGGCTTGAGGCTGGGCAGCAGCAGCAGGAACAGTGGGAAGTGGCTGGATCTGGGATGTGTTCGGAAGGTAGAGGTGACAGGCTTTCTAGATGGGGGTACGTGAGAGAGAGGAGCTAAGGATGATTCCGAGCTTTCTAACCTGAACCACTGAAAACAAGATAAACACAGAAGTTAAAGCAGCCAGCACAGTCCCCAGACCAAGTAGAAACCAACCACGAGGAGCAGTCCTCCAGGTCACCAGTGCTCCCACTGGGACAGAAAGGAAGGAAGGGGCAATGGAGTTTTTGCCTCTAGTAGGCACAGAGGACCTGGGCAACTCTGCTCCCGCACAAGTAGGCACTGAGGCAAGAAGCCTAGGGCAGGCAAAGGTGCTGGAGTAGTGACAGCCTTGTTCTCAGTGCTCTGAAATATTGTGACTCTTTTGGAGGGTGACAGGTAACAGGGATTGAACTCAGGGGCACTAAACCACTGAGCCACATCCCCAGCCCTATTTTGTATTTTATTTAGAGACAGGGTCTCACTGAGGTGCTCAGCACCTCSCCTTTGCAGAGGCTGGCTTTGAACTCATGATCCTCTGGCCTCAGCCTTCCCAGCTGCTAGGATAACAGGCATGCGCCACCTCACCTGGCATGATTCTTTTTTCCTCCTAACCAATGCAGACCACTGGGGATAGAGAAGGGGGRGCAGGGGAGCAGTCCAAAATTGCCCTCTGATCAAAAGTCAGATGGGGCCAGGAGCAGTGGCACATGCCTATAATCCCAGYAGCTTGGGAGGCTGAGGCAGGAGGATCGTGAGTTCAAAGTCAGCCTCAGCAATGGCAAGGTGCTGAGCAACTCAGTGAGACCCTGTCTCTAAATGAAATATAAAATAGGGCTGGGGATGTGGCTCAATGGCTGAGTGCCCCTGAGTTCAATCCCTGGTAGCAAAAAAAAAAAAAAAAAAAAGTCAGCTGGGGCTGGGGTGGTGGTACAGGCCTGTTATCCCARTGACTTGGGAGGCTGAGACAGGAGGATTGAGAGTTCAAAGCCAGGCTCAACAATGGTGAGACGCTAAGCAACTTGGGGAAACCCTGTTTCTAAATAATAAACAAGATAGGGCTGGGAATGTGGTAGAGTGTCCCTGAGTTCAATCCCCAGTACCCAAACAAATAAATAAAAATAAAAGAGTCAGATGGCTAGGGGAAGAAGGACCTCTCCTGCCCTCTGACTTACCAGATACCCTTTCATCTTACAGAGCTTTTACCCTATTTGTCTTGAGATCTCTGAATTTCTGTCAAGCATTTTGTCACCACTGACATATGGCACACTAAACTAGGAGATCTCAGAGATGTTGGAACATGAAAAACTATGCCTCTTAGTATTGCTGGTAGAATACATTTATCAGTCCCCCCCACCCCAGCCATGACTCACCTGTAAGCTACACCAGGGCAGGAACCTCTGCTCTTCTTCTCCTTTATTGGTTTTGGCTAAGAACTTGAGAGCTGTGTACTGTACGGGTATTACCACGTTTAATTTTCAAACAATGAGCAGAAAGGCATTGTCATTTACCCCAGTTTACTAATAAGGAAATAGAAGCTCAGGGACACTTGGTC